GCCAATGATTTCCCCCTTTGCCGATTTCTACTATTTATTCAGCCTGCAAAGGAGTCTGGTAGAGACTAAGCCCGATGGTGGAAAATCTCACAGCAGCGGGGACAGATGAGGATCCGCCGCCGACTGCCCAGACTGTGTTCGGGGTGGTCCTTCTCGTGGCTTCTTTGACTGGCGTCCTCGGCAACGGGCTGGCTCTACAGGCTTTATATGCGTAAGTTAAACGTCACATAACTGTGTCTTTTCATAGTGTACATTGATATGTCGGTGAAGGCGAGACATCCAGGTAATAAGATACGCCAAAAAGCAGTTACTCAAGCAACTGGATATGATTTTGGAAACGGTCAGACGTTTCAGCTAGTGTCCACTAGCTTTCTGCAGTGGATATATTGTACATTGAGTTATGTTGGACTATTTTTTAGTCGTTGTCGATGTCGTCACAAAACCCTTCTCTTTCTCCATCTCCGTTAGATCATCACCTGCATTATCGTGTTAACACAAAGACAAAACATGCGAACGCCACCGCATTGCAAGCATAGCAAGGTCACAATAAAAGATACCCATAGAAATTGCAGCAGTTCAGCCAATCTGAGGGAGGCTACTTGTCGGTCTAAGTTCGACATTATGACTAGAGTTGAGGGCAGTAGAGTGGAGGGAGAGGACATATTTATTTCGAGGTTGGCCACACATTGTGGCAGAATTCACATCCATGTGTAGCCTGTATTTCTCTAGGCACCTAGACTCAAATTCTTCTTGCATCTCTTTTCTTCAGGTTTGCCAGGCGCGTTTCACCCAGCTGGGTCACCTGAAGGCGCACTCCCGCATCCATACCGGGGAGAAACCGTACCAGTGTGGGACGTGTGGCGCCAAGTTCAGCCAGCTCGGTACACTCAAGGTAAACACCCTCCATATCTATCTTCGTCAAATTTCCCTATAAGCAACGTTCAAATAGTCCTAAACGTTATGGCTGAAAATGTTCATGAAAACTTTGGCCCCAGATCCCTAGATTTTACCGGACCAAAGCTAACAAGGCTTTCGGGAAGTCTGTGATCCGTCTCCGATTTCTTGTTATTTCACGCATCTCAGGTAATTAGGATGTTAATTTTCATTCTATACCCTTTTCTTTTTGCACTATATTCAATAGTCATGATCATTATGCATTTCCATACATTGTGTAACAGTGGGGGTTCATAGGCGCTACCAACTGATCCGGCCGATGGGTCTAGACCTTTAAGCCGAATAATTAGAGGGTCTGGGTTATGATATAATAATCTGCCCGGGTTTGATCCCCGGCCGGGGACCAGGCGTGTTCTGTTTCTACTCTCCTAATTCTTACAATTGTACCATGTGGGGTTGTACCATGTACAATTGTACAATAAAGCTTCTTCTTCTACATAGGTCCACATGCGGATCCATACCGGGGAGAAGCCGTACCAGTGTAAGACGTGCGACGCCCGCTTCACGCACCTCCGCTCGCTCAAACTGCACACGCTGCGCTCGCACATGGAGGAGCTCACTCAAGCCGAGCAGGACCAACTCAAGCAGGACACCGGCACGGTCAGCAGCGCCTCACAGCGGGAGTCGCCGGAACCGCAGGCCGCTGCAAGTGCCGCCGTCTCTGCCTCTGGTGATGAGTAAAAAACAAACAAACAAACAAACAAACATAAACAGTCATTTATCATGATTTTAGGAATGGTTGTATCATATTGAGGATCCTTGTTATATCAAACTGACAATCTCTTGGAAAATGTCACTTGGAAAAAAGAATGTGTCCCTGAAAATTCTGATCTTGAAAAGATACTGGGTAACAATATAACAATAACTAGATTCGGCATAATTTAAAAAAGTACAGTTTTTGTCGCCTAGGCTTCTTTGATGTGGTGGGAAAATGTGGCCTGTATCAGGTGCACATGGAAACAAAATCGTACTGGTGGTCTGATAATAAATTCCAAATTTGCTTGAGATGAAGTCCAAAAGCAAGTGTCAATTTTACAAATGCAAAGAAAAACCTAAAGTGTCTGATGACATGTTGCCATTGCATTTGTATCATACCCGCTAGCACAGAAACTGGCAAATCTGAAGCATTTGTTGTTTTAAGCAGTGAAATACGAACTGTTTTAGGACAAATACAGTTGATTTCTTGTGTACAGAGTGACTTTTAAAGGCTTTAATCTGTGTATATATAAACTTTCATCTCCAAAATGGTGTTTGAAATATGTGTAATGTTACAAAGTTAAACTTTTATCAAAGGCATTTTAAATTTGTTTCCTGTTCTCTGTACTCCGTTCCTTGTGGCATCAAAAAGAAAATGCCTTGACTGTACATGTGTCACAAAGTTTGATATAATAATGCTGCTGAAAGTAGAGTGCTGTATACGTGTATCTGCACATTAATGCACAATTAGTGATAAAAACGTTTATGTTAATGTAAATATACAAGTAGATGTATATGTCTTGCTGCATATTATAATCTCCAAGCAGATTCTGTGGGGCAAGGGGAGTCTACAGTATATTGGCCTCTTGTAACAATTTGAGGCCAATATCTTGTAATCTGCTTGGAGATTAGCATAATAGAGAGCACAAATTAAGTCTTCCTAGCATTGGAGAATTTGTATAATGCCATGACAAAAAATTGTAAGACATTAGTTATTTGGTTATTTAATACCAGTGTGTATTACACTGGCATACGACAATAGGGGTTTTACAATAGTAATAAGATAGGTGAATCCAGTACACTATTTTTGGGATTTTACAATTGAATGTGTTGAAGTGATTTTGCACAAGAGTGAGATTTTTTAACCGTAAGATTTCGATAATCGATAGTTAATTTGTTGAAACTTCTCATTATATATTGGAGGTAGGTGCTTGCATCTGTGGGCCGGTTTTGGGAAAGGAATTTTGTTTTCAAATATTTTCTAAAAAACGTTTCTATGCAAAGATCCTGTGCTTCCAATTAGATGGTGCAGCTTTTGGAAAGCATGCACGAACAGACAATCATATGTATGTCATAAGCGTTTAAGAGAACAAATAATTATGACATTGTCCCCCAAGAGCATTCCACAAGTAACAAGTTTGTAATTGTAATATATGTGTGCTTTTGTAACTACCACATTTTTACACTGTTAAGCATTCATCTGTGGTGAACTGAAGTAGCATTCATGTAGCGAAGTTATGCCATGACAAAAACCATTCATCTGTACAGCCTTTGGACAGCTAACAATTAAGGAAAATTAAGTCTGAAAGTAGACGTTAAGGTACACCGTGTATTACTACAGTAGAATCTCAGGGTTTTATATACATGTGGTGTAGATATCACTACCTGCAGCTGCCTAAGAAGCGATACAAGTAGACACTTTTGGAAAAGACACTTTTCAAGTACAAATGTACACGTTTTATAAATCAGATAAACTGACTCTTTGTAAGATTTCGGTAAAACGGAAACATTCTATATATATCAAATGTTCATGTACAACTACTTTTAGCATATTTGCACCATTATTTGCAACTTGCTTGGAAAAGAAACTTTCCGAATCCTACACAAACCTCCCTTAATTGTAGGAAGATCAAGAAGAAAGTTGGTGCAAGAATGTTCTTATATTTTTGCCACCGGTATCTTTTTGATATAGCAGGACGTTGTAAACACAGGGTGTTAGTAAGTGTGGACGAGTAGTGTTGTATACATATGCCATACTGCTGCTAAAATGTCTTCTAAAAACAACATGTTTGTACTACATTTAAGTCTAAGACCAAAGTAGCCTTTTTAGTTAGCTACGGTCTCTTGGTGGTTTCTTGTGATGCATTACACCAAGAGACTTTACTGAAGTCTGAAGCTGAAAGGCCGTCATTTAAGTGAATTCTAGTTAAACTGCTATTAAGTGTAGTTTTTATACCTGCATGAACTCTTGTGTGGTGACATAAGACAATCAGTGAACTGTAAAACCAAGGACGTTCTACAAGTGATAGAAAGTCCTTGGTATAACTGTAGCGCTCTTCAGCTGTTTGGATTGCTATCAAATGTTCTCTATTTTGTGAAGTGAAGAAATTGTACAAGGTGAAATTATAAGGGATAGGATATTGTTTTGCAAACAGACAGCTTCTTGTATCAATAGGTTGTGAAGTCGATTCTCATATCACAAAATTAAACATTGTGCGTATGACAATGGAATATTATATCTAAAAGAGTTATGAACCTACATATAAAAAGTCATTGAGAGAGCTACAATGTGGTCTCGAGTTAAAAAATGTCAAATATCATATTAGATATATTGTTGAGAAAGATTCATATCATTACTACTTATGGTCAGAAAGAGAGAATTCAGAATCGTCTGATAGCATCCATGGTGTTTTTTTTTTGCAACAAATAAAATGCTTTACTTGAACAATACACATTCTACTGTGAAGACGCGTTTTGTGTTGACTTTTTTTGTCTTGTTTCAGCTGATCAGAAGACATTAAAAACTAGCTTCTACGTTTTTCAAATGATACATTGTTATCCTCTTCGGGAAGAGGCTGGAAAGAGTAGATATTGGCCAAGGAGACAGATCATTTGCCAGTGGAGTTGGTCCGCGCTAAAGAGAACAGTTTGCCGCTCCCGAAGCCTGTCGGGGGTCGCTACGATCTTTGAAGTCGCTATCGTATATCTATCGGTACTGTCAAGCTGTTCTCTTCTGTTCGATTTATATAAAGATGCGAAATAAAAACCATGACATTATCCACGTGGCTACTTGCACAACCAGGTCATCCAATACGTGTCACGATAGCACGACTTGACATGCTGCGTGTCATCTGGGAGGGCAATTTAACACTAAGAAAGAAGTAATTATATGATAGTTATTATATAATGGACACGCGCGTAGATGTTGTCGGCGGGCCGGATCGTGAAAAGGCTGTGAAATTTCCTATGATGAACTTTAAGGTTTATGTCCTTTTATGTGGCTCACTGGTTGCTACTTTAATGGGGGCTACCTATTAAGCAAGTGTACAACCAACGTTTCTTTGTGGTCTTGTTGGATTTTGGAAGCTCTCAAAAAGGATATGGAATGAATTAATGGATGAATGAAGCTTAACTTAGTAAAGTGTCTTGCGCTTTAGATATCAGATATCTAGATAAGCAAACATTACAGCATATGTATATTATATAGATGGTTCTCTATTTTTGCAGAGAAGAAATTGTACAAGGTAAAATTATAAGGGAAATAGTATATTGTTTTGCAAAGAGGCAACATATTGTGTTACTATCCATTCATTTATTCCATGTCATTTTGAGAGCTCCCAATATCCAACAATATTCAACAATATCCAACTTCCACCCCCCACCCCCACCCCCCTTCAAAGCGGCCAACCAGCGAGCCAATCAAAAGAAACTTGAAAACGAGAACTTCAAAGTTCACCACAGGAAACCTCCAGGCCATGGATGTGACATAGGACAGCCTTTTCACGGTCCAGCCCTCCGACAACTTCTACGCGCGTGTCATTTATATAATAACTATATCGTATAATTACTTCTTTCTTAGTGCTAAATTGCCCTCCCAGATGACACGCAGCATGTCAAGTCGTGCTATCCTGACACGCACTGTGCCTGACACGTATTGGATGACCTGGTTGTGAAAGTAGCCACGTGGATAATGAATGAATGAATTAATGAATGAATGAATGAAGACCTTTATTGTACATTTTGCCCCACTGGGCTAAAGACAGGTCACATATTGACAAAGTACATCAATGTTGATAATAAAACTGCTATAGTACACAAGTACTTTCAACTTCCTCTCGCTTTCTGGTAATCTTATAAATGTAGTTGGCAGTATGAGTAGTTAGAGCTGGTTTGTTAAAGACTACAAGGAATATAAATTTCTCTATACTATTCAAATACTTAAATTGGGAGTATTTGCTTGACACAAAATCGAAAAGAACGTTTCTTTCGCTGTCATACATGGAACAATCCACAATAAAATGTACCTCGTCTTCTACTTTACCTAAACTACAATATTGGCAGATTCAATATGTATTTCACGCTTTTACAAGTCGTGACAAGAAAAGTGTAAAGAAATGACAGCAATGAGGCGATTCTGGGCCTTCACGCCGTAGACATAGACAGGAAGTTATTATTATATATGATTGACGTACGTGTTGCCAGCGGGCTAGATGACCTATCACATTTCCTGTAATATACTCGTACTTTGAAGTTGTTGTTTTCTTCTTTTTGGGACTGACGCACTAGTTAGATGGCTTCTTTGATGTGGGGCCACCTTATACGAGTGCACAACCGACGTTTATATAATTATGGGATTTCATTGGTGGCTACAGAAGAGTATAAATTGGCAGATAACGAACAACGAGCATACTATAGGGGAGTTGGTCTGCTAAAGGACAGCAGTACTCGTTTGTCACTCTGCTATTCTATTGGCAATTGTTTCAAACGAGAGGGCAGATCTAGCATATAGAGACTGTCTCCCTAGACTAAACTACCAAAAGAAGACGACGAAATATCAAAAGAACATGGATATTAGAAATATTTCCGAGCGCTTATTTCGGGAAGACAGCCCGATGGTGGAAAATCTCACAGCAGCGGGGACAGATGAGGATCCGTCGCCGACTGCTCAGACTGTGTTCGGGGTGGTCCTTCTCCTGGCAGGGTTGACTGGCGTCCTCGGAAACGGACTGGCTCTACAGGCTTTATATGCGTAAGTTAAACGTCACATTACTGTGTATTTTCATAGTGTACATTGATATGTCGGTGAAGGCTAGACATCCAGGTAATAAGATACGCCAAAAAGCAGTTACTCAAGCAACTGGATATGATTTTGGTAACGGTCAGACGTTTCAGCTAGTATCTACTAGCTTTCTGCAATGGATATATTGTACATTGATTTATGTTGGACTATTTTTTAGTCGTTGTCGATGTCGTCACAAAACCACTCTCTTTCTCCGTTAGATCATCACCTGCAAGATGTGATTCTAACGGTTGGTTGCCAAACAGGTTTATACAAGATTTTCTGGTCTATTATATATGACGATCTTAAAAAAAATGTCATCTCTATTTTCCACAACTGCTTGTGGTTAACGTTTGGCATTTTAATAAAAACAAGCATTCAACGAAATTTCAGGCAGCAAAACTGGATTTTCAAAGACAATTTTCTGGTCGGAATGTCAGAAGTTGAAGCTTCAAGTATCAAAAATATATTTTTTTTTGCTTTGGCGCCCGTAGTTGAAATTGCATTGGAAGTGCATATTTAAAACGTGTATATCGTAGAGTTGTCCACAAAGAAAAACACAGCATTTTAACGGCGCCCGCGGTCTTATTTTACCGGACAACACAGCTTTTACACGTATAAAGAAGGAGAGGTAAAGTATGAATTACCTGTCCCCGTGTAGGTGTAAGGCCTTGCGGCAGCCTAAGCACTACCTGGTGGCTAACCTGTGCGTGACAAACGGACTGATGTGCCTGGTGTACTGCTGCTCCACCGTCCCCGCCAGCTTCGCACACACATGGCCGTTTGGAGAACTCGGTAGGAACCTTTTCCTATTCAGTCTAGATCTAATAAACGTTATGCATTTGCTTTGCAATTGTTACCTTTCTAGTTATATGTCTTTCTGATGTGTTTTATGGACTGAACTAAAGTGTTGTAAAATGCGTCGATGAAGGTTAGACATCCAGGTAATACGATACGCCAAAAAGCAGTTACTCAAGCTTATGATTTTGGAAACGTCAGACGTTTCAACTAGTATCCACTAGCTTTTGTCAGTGACTGAGAGACCAGAGGGGAAAGGCAGGTTTATAAGCACTAACTATTGATTGATATGCAAATTAAGTGTCTTCACTTTATCATGTATTACCTGGAATAAAGTGTCTTTTACTACTACTACTACTTTCCCCAAAATGTCGCAAAAATGTGCAATAAAGGTCGACATTCATTCATTGCACTTCGTACTAAAATTTCTCATAAATAAAAAAAATCTTCTACACGGCCAGGTCGCGACGTGGTGGGCTTCAGCGTCAGTGTGATGACCGTGGTGCTGATGACGTCACAGCTCGCCATAGCCGCACAGCGAGTCGCCGTCGCCGCCAGCCCCCTAGCGGCCGCCTACAGCATCACACACGGCAAGATGCTGACGTGCGTCGCCGCCACATGGGTCTACTCAACCGTCGTTATGCTGCCTCCTCTCGCAGGGTGGAACAGGTTTGCCATAGACCGCAGTGGCGTCAGTGTGACGTTCGACTACGCGGCTCTTGACGGTATTTCCAGGGCGTACACCTTTTCCTTGCTCGTCCTCGCCTTTGTAGTACCGTTACTCGGTATAGTCTGTTGTTACAGCTACATCTTTGTCACCGTGAGAAGGTCTAGGCGAGAGGCGAAGCTGAAGCATACAGAGTTGACTAGTAGAAGGGACAGAAAGACTGTGGTTGTCGCCATGTGCCTGACGGCTCTGTTCTGTGTAAGTTGGACGCCGTGCGCATCCGTAGTCGTTTTAACTCAGTGTAAAGTAACGGTTTCTGTTACGTATGTCATGGTGGCTGCCGCCGTAGCGAAGTGCGCTTCTTCCGTCGATCCGATGATGTTTGCGTTTTCGCTACCTGTGGTCCGAAAGTATTACTGTAACAGGAAAAGGCTGGGAAAATACATTGTAACCTAGGGGCAAAATCAGGCAGTGAACACTCCAGTGTATTAAAAAGCGAATCCGTATCTATCTAGACTGTTTGTGTGAAATGAAAACATTCTGTGCATGTAAATTTTGTACTTTCTTGTGGGAATTTGTGACAATAAAGTCTGTAACGTCAATATTGTTTGTCACGTTTTTTTTTCATTGGGAAAAAAACAGTAGTCTGAAATTTAAGATTATATAGGAAAGAGCATCCCGGGATTTGAAAAAGAAACACTCTTACAATTTTCAGCCATGTCAGTATTAGATATAATTTCGCAGCAGATTATGAGAAACTTATGTGAATTCAAGCCTCAATTCTCTTCACTCTTCGTCACTTTTTTTTACCGCGCACTTCCAAAAACTAAAGATGTGCACCGTTTAGCATTAATTCAGTACGCTCTCTCTGTCGCTTCCCTGACAAAAGGCGTACGAAAAAATACGCCTACATGATCTACATACGCCTTTCTTCCGTAAAACCTCATCTTATACTCCTAGCGATGATGGATTCATTGATGATCAATCAAAGTAATAGGTCAGTTCGCCTTAACCAGGACATGGAATACTTAGTATTACCACGCCCTGACCTGTTCTATTGTACGTAATGTGAAGTCATGAAAACCTCAATTATTTTCACTCTTGTCACCTTTTTTTTACCGCGCACTACCAAAAACTAAAGGTGTGCACCATTTAGCTTTAATTTACTAGTAGCACGCTCTCTCATCAGTCGCTTCCCTGACAATTCTTGGGATAGTCGTGCACATGTACTGCAAAATTCAGCCGTCTAATGCTACAGAAAATGCTGGTCTTATTTTCGATTACTAGTTCTGTCATAACCTGTTTTGAAAATCGTAGGCTACGGCCTACGACGTTTGCTAGAAATTCCTACAAAGCATATTCACAGGACTGTTTGTATGGGCAATTTGCTTGCTGATAAAAAGGACAACGAACTTTCTTTCTTTCATAACACAGTTTCTCGTTAAAAAAAACACAAGCTGTGATTTGGATAGACGGTCGCAATGCTTCTTACGTATGCACATGAGTCCGCATCTTTGGTATCTTTTGAAACAACCTGCATGGCGATGTCTCATTTGTAGTATAAAGGACATTATAACGTCATTGGTAGTCCTGGGTAGTATCGATAAATCTAACCTTGCTTCAAATAGGTCAAACAAATATTTTACATAACCTGTAAATCGGCGTAGCTCCCAGCTGTAATTATTTTCCTACTAACGTCACATCCGTACGAAATCGTTCTGTGCTTTTGATGCAATAAATCGTCTAATACGGTTCTTTTTTTATCGGCCTTTATCCTCAAGGCATACTTTGCTTGTTCGTTGTTTGAACGTTTTTTTCATGAATAAAGAAAGTTAAAACTTTCTTTATTCATGAAAAGCTCAAACCGGACTGCAGGTCGCTTTTCATTGAGGTCATGAGAGAAAAGGCGAGGGTCCGGTCGGACAAAATACATAACATAGATACAGTTAACGTTGTTTAAAGTCACGTATTTAAGAATGACATCCTGTCTATTAGCTTTCAAATTGTGTGGGAAAAGCTATCGTCTGCAACGGGCAAAGTTCTGATGCAACGTTGACAAATTAAACACCCGTTACCTAAGTTATTTCTTATTTATCCGATTTATTTGAATTGTTAATCACGTTATAAAGGGAGGCCTTCTCATAAGCATTTTATGCTTCCGGCCTCCCTGCATTGTTACATTTCATTTATATTTTCATGTATTTGTATTGTTACATTTTGTTTTAAAGTGCGAAATAAACTGAAACTAAAACGAAAACTGTGAAAAATCCGGATTTCGAAGAGGGATAAGTTAGCTCTGTCCTGCTAACATGCTAATAATTATCATCATAGCAAGTCATATATTGAGCGATTTTAGCCTGTGTAACATGTGACTTCTTTAATAATAATAACTTGGACGAAGTGCGCTTCTTCCGTCGATCCGATGATGTTTGCGTTTTCGCTACCTGTGGTCCGAAAGTATTACTGTAACAGGAAAAGGCTGGGAAAATACATTGTAACCTAGGGCAAAAATCAGGCAGTGAACACTCCAGTGTATTAAAAAGCGAATCCGTATCTATCTAGACTGTTGTGTGAAATGAAAAACATTCTGTGCATGTAAATGCTGTACATTCTTGTGGGAATTTGTGACAATAAAGTCTGTAACGTCAATATTGTTTGTCACGTTTTTTTTTTTCATTGGGAAAAAAACAGTAGTCTGAAATTCAAGATTATATAGGAAAGAGCATCCCGGGATTTGAAAAAGAAACACTCTTACAATTTTCAGCCATGTCAGTATTAGATATAATTTCGCAGCAGATTATGAGAAACTTATGTGAATTCAAGCCTCAATTCTCTTCACTCTTCGTCACTTTTTTTTACCGCGCACTTCCAAAAACTAAAGATGTGCACCGTTTAGCATTAATTCAGTACGCTCTCTCTGTCGCTTCCCTGACAAAAGGCGTACGAAAAAATACGCCTACATTAGGCCTACATACGCCTTTCTTCCGCAAAACATCATCTTCTACTCCTAGTGAATTCAATCGAAGTGAAAGGAGCTACCAGGTACAATATGCGTAAAGTTGCAATTATCACTAAGTCACGTCAGTGCGTGGGGTGCCCTGTCTATTCTTCTGCAACAGCAAATGCTCTCTTGTGTCATGATGGATTCATTGATGATCAATCAAAGTAATAGGTCAGTTCGCCTTAACCAGGACATGGAATACTTAGTATTACCACGAAATTCCTACAAAGCATATTCACAGGACTGTTTGTATGGGCAATTTGCTTGCTGATAAAAAGGACAACGAACTTTCTTTCTTTCATAACACAGTTTCTCATTAAAAAAACACAAGCTGTGATTTGGATAGACGGTCGCAATGCTTCTTACGTATGCACATGAGTCCGCATCTTTGGTATCTTTTGAAACAACCTGCATGGCGATGTCTCATTTGTAGTATAAAGGACATTATAACGTCCTTGGTAGTCCTAGGTAGTATCGATAAATCTAACCTTGCTTCAAATAGGTCAAACAAATATTTTACATAACCTGTAACTCGGCGTAGCTCCCAGCTGTAATTATTTTCCTACTTACGTCACATCCGTACGAAATCGTTCTGTGCTTTTGATGCAATAAATCGTCTAATACGGTTCTTTTTTTATCGGCCTTTATCCTCAAGGCATACTTTCCTTGTTCGTTGTTTGAACGTTTTTTTCATGAATAAAGAAAGTTAAAACTTTCTTTATTCATGAAAAGCTCAAACCGGCCTGCCAGGTCGCTTTTCATTGAGGTCATGAGAGAAAAGGTGAGGGTCGGACAGAATACATAACATAGATACAGTTAACGTTGTTTAAAGTCACGTATTTAAGAATGACATCCTGTCTATAGCTTTAAAATTGTGTTGGAAAAGATATCGTCTGCAATGGGCAAAGTTCTGATGCAACGTTGACCAACTAAACGTCCAGATTTCGCAGAGGCAGCAGCTAGCTACTTGTTTTCTGCCGACATGCTAATAATTATCAGCATGGCAAGTCATAAATTGAGCGATTTTAGCCTGTGTAACATGTGGCTTCTTGAATAATAATAACTTAATAATGTGTAGTTATGTATGTATAGTTGAACAGCATAGCAAAGAATAAAATCTTGACATGGATTCAACAGTTGATACTTAAATTACAACTGTATCAGAACAACAGTTTATTGAAAAGATTTTCACATTTGTATGGAATTCTGAGTTTTACTTGTTTCTGTAGACTATACAGAGATCAATGTTTGTATCACGTTTCTTTCAAAAGATGTTCACACTTGAATGATTTTTAACTGTTTCTGTAGACTATACAGAATTCAATGTTTGTATAATTTTTTTCTTTCAACATCTACTGTGTATAATTTACAAAAAATTCAAATCTTTGAGTTCTTCAACCATCTTATGTGTACATGTATAATGTAACGTTACATGTACATGCATTGGGTCTTTGACACAATCATTTTTGTAGAAGCTTGATGACGTCAGCATGTATGATTTATCTTAGCATCTTCATGTTCATCTGTGTTGGTACAACTCATTATAAGATAAAGACTAAGCTTTAACTTCCAATCCCAATACTTTGTTAGTTAGTGTTGGAAGTTAAAGCTTAGTCTTTATTTCATAATGTATGATTTATGGATATGTATTTGTTAACATGGAACAATCATTGTCAAACTGAGAACTGTCTGTTACCATCCCATAGTGTTGGATGCTGTGATGACTGGTTTCCATGGTGACAGAGAATGCTGAGCTCCTATTGGACATATTTTCGACCCTGACAATGAGAGATTGTGTAACACATGTGTACAGGGTAACATGGGATCCATTATCTATTGCCCAATATGGACAGTTTTGCTACTGGATAGTGTGGAAATTAAGACTTGGGCAAAAATTAGTAGCAGCCGCTTGGTTCACATCACAGTACTGCAAACGTCATTTAAAATACAAAATATCATATCATGATAGTATGCCTAAATCATGAACATGAATGTATTGGTACAATAGCTGAATAGATTTACATTCAAGTACATGTATATAACTTGCTGACTTACTTTGTTACTGCATAATGCATAATTCTTATCACAAAGATAAGAAATTGGAAGCACTGCATTTTAGGGGAATGAAATCAGATGAAATCAGCACCATCTTTGATTTGAGATCCCATCAAAAACATGGGTTCTCTGCATAAGATCACACCTATACCCTACTTGGTCTATCTACAAGTAAACATATTCTACATGTACTTGGTCTACAAGTAAACTTTCTATGTGGAAACCTTTGTTAACATTGTGCTTCTGTCATCATTGAAGACAACACGTCTTTGTCACATTGTACTGGTACATTTGTACCATTTAGGCAGTACTAGTGTTCCTCTAGCCAGCCTGACATTCTTTTCCATTATCTCAATTTTGTTTGATATACTAGTACGGTAGTACATGTAACACCATGTCAAACACCAAATCCTAGGAGAAGTGGGGGCAAATTATCTGTTCCCGGTAATGAGAAGTTTGCAGTACAGACCTAGTGACAGTGAAAACCGAGAACGTAAAAGTACAGTGAGAAAATTGTGAATTACAGTATGACTAATCTGCGCTGCAGATTTCCGAGGCGAGTGGGTTTTCCTTCACCATGGGTCCGACCTCAGTCAGCAGGCTCCTCTCACAGGCTCGCCCCACACTGCGCACCTAGGAAGGGTAATACTGCATTAAACATAAGCCTCCCAAAACTTCAACAAAGAACAATCATTGTCTTGTGCCTAATGTTGCCTAGAGTAGAAAGGTAACATTTGCAAATGTTCACCTTGACATGGTCTAGCCTAACAAACCACTGCTCTGTTTATTCTTACTCTAACACGTTCATATACTACTAGTACATGTATATGGTGACCAGCACCTCCAGCTCTTCCCAGCTACATTATGTAACCCAACACCTCATGTACATGTGTCTGCTACAGCACCAGTTACCATGGTGACAGATTTCTGGTCCAGGTCATTGACCTTATGTGTTTGGAGAAAAAGAAGAAACTGAGCAAAAACAATTGTTCACTCACTCACTCACTCACTCACTCACTCACTCCTCACTCACTCACTCACTCACTCACTCACTCACTCACTCACACACTCACTCACTCACTCACTCACACTCACTCACTCATACTTCACTCACCTCGGTCAGCTTGCTGAGGAGGCGGGGGAACATGGCCGGCTGGTCTGCGTACGCCACGCGGCAGTACGCCTGCAGACACCCCACGTACCGCTCCTGAGCCTTCTCCAGCACACCGCGCGACCTGATGTTCGGACGGTCTGTGTGTGGACACAGCGAACGACGTTATTCTTGTGAAAAACAATTGCACACTCTAATCTACGCTTCATATGGTCTTCACAAAGCAATTGCAGACAACGATACCCTAATCTACACTTTACACATGTTCTTCAATAGACTGACTCGGTGAGACTAGCGTCACGTGGCTTCTCTGAAGTGTATTTGACGACATACCTTTGACCCAGTGTTTAACGTCACACTTCAGAGAAGCCACGTGACAAGTCTCACTGGGGTCTCTATTGCAGAAGACTAGACAGTGTGTGACTGGTCAAAAGCTCTAGGTGAGAACAATTCTTTGTGTTGAAACAAAAGTTTTAACTTCAAACATGTAACTACCAACACAGACAACACATGTGGGTAAAAGTCACATATCTTACAACAACAACACTCGGGTCAGAAAGCTAATGAAGACCGAGTGATTCGTAAAAAATTCTTAGTCAAGTCATCTTGAGTTGGAGAACAGTTTAATTTTTGTGATGATCAAATTGTAAAATTCTTTTTACTGTGTATTTATTGACAAGTTAACACAATAGAAGGGTCAGAGCTGACCTGGAGACAGCACCACAGCACACAGCAGCAGGTGTACGGTGATGGAGTCCACATTCAGCCTCCACATCCCCTCATACCACGCCTTCAGCACCGCCATGAACTCCGCCGTGTGAACTGTACAGATGGACATAGGAAAATACAGGTAAGGATGAGGTAAAGGCAGATCCATAGCCTTTTTGAGGCCACAGGGGGTGTGGCCTGGTTAAACCCTGTTTTGTATTAAGCTAACGAAAGGGTATGTCACCTCGTAAAGGGTGGTATAACCCCGACCAATATAGTCGACCGATGATGATGATGATGAGGGGGTGTGGGATGTTGATCCACTGTGTGTTAGGCACAGTATTGGAAGGTGGAGCCCACCCCTATCCTTTCACTTCCTTCTACCTGCCCTATTGAAGTCAGGTACTCATTTTACACCTGGTTGGAGTTTAGAAAGTAGTGTAAAGTGCCTAAATTCCCAAGGATACAAGGTCTTGCCAGGAATGCCTGGAAATTTGGCGGTAATCAAACCCGTAACCTCTCAGAGTGGTACCCACTTGTCTAGCCACTCTACAAGCTAGCCCCCAAAAAATGCTTCTCTCCCATGAGTTAAAGTAAGAAGACAGTTTGAGTACTTGCCTGGTGCTACCAGCCGTTCCAAGACTCCGATGTCCAGTCCACACTCCTTCAGGAAGACCGGAACTCGCATGACGAAGCACTCGAACAGAGAACCCTTCGAACAAAACATTTCATTGTGTTAGTTATTGATGTTGTACACAGCCAGGGCTCAAAATATATACATATATACAGGTTAGTGCAGGTATAATTGGAGCTGTGCAGGCATTTCTGATGTCTACCTGCACCTAACCTGTACTGGTCCATGTACTGGGTATATGCAGGTTAGTGCAGGTAAAATTGGAGCTGTGCAGGTATTTCTGATGTCTACCTGCACCTAACCTGCACTGGTCCATGTACTGGGTATATGCAGGTTAGTGCAGGTAAAATTGGAGCTGTGCAGGTATTTCTGATGTCTACCTGCACCTCACCTGTACTGGTCCATGTACTGGGTTTGCATATGCAAATGTAGGTGTACATATACAAATGTAGGGGGGCATGTAGGTGGATTTTCATAAGCTGTATTGACAGTGTCACAACCTACAAAGTGAAAATAAAATAGCGGCAAAAGTAAATTAAAAAGTAAATTAGTATGTGTAGGTATATTATGTAGAAAACAGTATGTTGAGCACAGTTAATAGAAAGTTTATTGCAAATACATGCCCGGGGGCTAATTGCAAATAAAAACAACATGTATGAAAAATAAGATACAATGATGAGAGTCTACGTGGTGCTACATTCTACAACATACGTAGTACTAATTCCTTTAGTGTTATATAATATAAACCAGGCACCTCACCTTGACAGCAGCCACCTGGTCTTCCAGAGGGAGGTCGGTGAAGCCTTGCAGAGACTTGCTGAAGGCGATGTACTTCTGTACTGTGACGGTGCCGCTCTGCACACACAACATACGCTTCTCATACAGGGTCTTACAGGCCAGGGCCTCCTATATATGGAAAAAAAAAGGAGATTTGCTGAGAATGTTTGTCATTTTCATGGCCAATTTTGGGTGCACAGAAGTGTATATGCACCCAGCAATACAATTTCTGAGCTGTGAACAGGACTCTACTAGCAGAGATTGTGACATCAAGACTTACATGTATTGTATTTCACAATTCAAACTTAAATATCACTTCTCCCTACAACTATTTAGGCCCCAAAACTATATAAGATGAAGACTAACTCACAACAATTTGATCAAATTCTGATTACAAATTACTAAACAATGCTGATTAACACAAAATCATCTTGGCAGAGATGCAACTTAATGTAGGTATCTCACAAAACTGAGGTACACAAGGTTACTCAAGGAGCTGGATAGAACTGTGAGTTTTCAAAACGTTGCTTGAGTAACAACTTTGTGTATATCATTTCCTGGTTGTCTAACCTTCATCCACACTAGTAATAATATACATGTACGCTACATACAAACATACCTTGTACAGCTTCCAGGTATGCCTGCGGCCGACCTCAGTAGCCTCCTTGAGGTAGGCTAGAATGTCAGAAATGATGGCCTGGTGGTCAGGAGAAAGCTGCTCCATCACATGTGGTCTGATGAAGAGTTTGGACATGGTACACCCGGCACTGCTAGTCCCTGGGGCTACTGCAGGTACCTCATCTGTAGGTACATCAGGCTTTGCAGGGACTATGGACACCCCCGAACTGTCATCCACACTCCATCTCATCGGAGGAACCTGGCCATCAGTCATCTCATTGGAGGAAGCTGGCTTCTGGTTGGCCAAAGACCCTGTAGATTTCAGCAACGCTGAGAGATTATTGGTAGGAGGGGGAGCGACAAGGTTCACACCGGTTTGAAGGGAGAGAAGGGTTTGGGCGTGTTCAGTCCTGCTGTCCTCCTGTACGGGGGCGTCCGTAACGTCGACATCGACTGCGCTGGCTGGACTTGGGGGCACGGAAGGAATGGTGTCCAGCGAAATCGGCTCCGTCAGAAGCTCCGAGCCGTTCGCCAGGAGAGCGAAGAAGGAGAGCATGTCCTCGCTGCCCGTGGACTCGGAGCGGGAGTACTGGATGTTGTCCTGCGTGACGTCAATGAACACGGACACGACTTCGTCGAAAAACGTTGAAGAGGAGGAAGAGTCACAGAGGACTGGTGTCGCTCCCTGCTGAAGCGACAGTGTGTCATCCTGTGAATGAATGAATGGTTTATTCAGGTTAAAATCACTCTCAGCCATTTTGCTAAATTGATTTGATTGACTTATTGAAATTGCCACAATACATTACACGTACGCGTGAGGCACAGGCAGCTTTCGCTGTTGTTGTGTCCCACACATAGAACATTACAATCACATAGAAAATTGTGGATTTAATTACAATACTTTCTAAAAGACAATGGTGGCATTTACACTAATACAATGTACTATAAAATAAATCATTTTTATAAACATCTAATAACAATTCCATCACAGCTTAAAGACCTTCACATATAGATGCACATAAAGTATTATTTGCAAATGGTATACAGATCTGTATGACTTACAGGGTCTAACTTCTTCATCACATCCTGGGAAGACCGCGTAACGGTTGTAGGACGGGAAGAGCGTAGCAGGCTCGCTATTTCGGAAGCATCGACCGACGGTCGGTCTAGCTGGCACGGCTGGTCGGGAACTCCGCTCTGATTAGGCGAGGGTACTGGTGCTAGATCCTGATTGGTCGAGGACACTGCAGACTCGGGTTTGGCGGGGTTCGACACCTGCCGCTGCCGCCACAGGGTTTTTGATCTGCGCTGCGCCTGGGTGAGCAGACCTGTAACAAAGAGTTTTACTATGAAAAAACAAACAAACAAACATCCAAAAATACCACCTACATATGAAGGTAAAGTGCAGGTAAATTGGGGGCTGTGCAGGTGTTTGTGATGTCTACCTGCACCTAACCTGCACTGGTCCATGTACCCAGGGAATACGCAGGTTAGTGCAAGTAAAATTGGAGCTGTGTGGGTATTTCTGATGTCTGCCTGCAATGGTCTGTGTACTTCAAGTTTGTATAGGTGTATGTTGATTTTTATTGTGTATTGACTGGTACCACCTACATGTTGAACGAAGTCTAAAATACATATATATCAGTGACAGTGATTTTGAATTCTGAACAGATTTTAGTAATTTACATGTGATCCATACTTCCTAAATTCTGATTAGTGCCAGTAAAACTTGTCTGGTGCAGGTAATTTTCAGTGTTGCCTGCACCAGTGCATGTATGCAAGAAAAAAGTATATCAAGTCTTACAGTCAGGCCTCATCCCGGCGGCCTTACATGACCTGAGTCGACACTCAGGACATCTCCTCCTGGTGTACAGGTCCATACTGCACTGGTTCCCCCATCTACAGGCCTTCACGTGACCTCGCGTCACACTGCGACGGAAAAATCCTGCAGAAGGAAAGGAATCAAAATCAACAGGGGGAATTTTTCAAACAAATTTACATGTATGTACAATTCAATAGGATGAATAACTTGATAGAGTTTTCAAGAAGGAAGTCTGTGTGTGCCCAGTCTATTTTGTAGACTTCTATTTTGTTGCAGTCATTTCCAATGAATGCACTCTTGAAATTTAATATGTTATAACCTTCTAGGGACCCACAAATTCATTACAGTACAACTTGTCATGTAATAGCATCTGAAATGGGGGCCATCTATTGAGTACTGTTCCTGATTTTTCCACGGTAATTATCAGTTTTCACTGTCAGTTATTATCATTTTATTGTTTAACGACTAATACCGCTAACAAATCAATTGTCGACTTCCTGTTTCCTGCACCTGCCACCACACCTGATCCATACTGTATTTACTACATGTATAAGACTCACCCTTGCAGCCCTCACAGCTGTAGACCCCGTAGTGAAAGCCTGAAGCCTTGTCACCACACACCAGACAGTCTCCCGTAGTCAGGTCTTGTTGTGTTGCATCACTCTTCTCATCCTGCCCCGACCCTCCCTCCGCAAAAATGGACGACACTGGCACTGGCTCATTCATGGCACTAAATACATAAATTGTTTTGAATATATATAGGGCATACTATCATGAAAGTTCATCTGTGTTGGTACTTTAGCTAGATGTTTAAAGTTGCTGACATCACACTTCAGACTCAGAGTTACTGTGTGATCATCAAAGTCTCAAGGTAATCTCCAAGCAGATCATACAGTGGCAAGGCAGTATCCTTTGGCCAGAGGAGTGTACATCAAGCTAACAGACACTCCTCTGGCCAATGGATACTGCCTTGCCACCGTATGATCTGCTTGGAGATAATTTACCTCAATGTCGTGTCACCGTAGGATCTGCTTGGAGATAAACCGCCATGCTACTCTCAAAGCAGAGGTTGGTGGGGAAGATTGTTACCTTTTAAATACCTTTATTGTACATTTAAAATGTGCCACTTTTTTCTGTCGTGGGGGTAGCGGCATATTAGAATCTTACCCACCAACCTCTACTTGAAGAGCAAATTACTATACACAGCTGTGTTGTGGCTTACGTGGACATGTGCACGTTTAACGTTAACGTTACAAATTATATAAAATTTTCACTGCACGTTCAACATGATCTGGCGTTGCTTGCGCCCCAAAATGTACGGTAAATCCACACACACTTTCTAAAATCTGTGTATGGTTCCTTCTAACCAACTAAAACCTCCTTGGTCATAGGCAGTAGACCAAAAGAGGGCTAAACTTTCTTGGGTTTGTGTGACCATCATTTTACGTTGAGTAACGTTAACTACCTTAACAGAGTCTTTAAAGCTTCAGAGTCGGAAATATAAGATTTCCAAAGGACAGAAGTTACACAAGTCAGTTACCTGAAGACTGAGGTAGGTGGAAGCCCTCCCAGAAGCTTTAGAACTTCTTAAAATGCGTAACATCAGGAGTAAAATTGCCCAGATGAGCGCAAACTAAACGTCTTTTTTAGACTGGAAGGTATTGGGGCGATTCCATTACGATAGCGATAGGGGACCTGGACATATTTGGCTCTATTAAGACGAAAAAATAATAATGATATCATTTATTGCTATTAGACAGAATGATATTACAAAATTACATAAAAAGTAAGTGTTATTTTAGGAATATGTAGGCATTATGATAAAGTTTAAGTCTGTCCCTCCCCGCAATTTCATATGGACTAGTCGATTGACCTGTGGTACGTTGACACAAATACTGTACAGTATGCACCAGGGTATACACAATGGGGTTATATATTACATGTAGCTTGGTTACCAGACAATGCGAATATGCTCTATTCCAATCATATCGTGGCCAATGAAGGGAATTTGTGAATTTCATTCAACATAAATTATGCAAATCTGACAGGGCTCAGGTGCTTAATAGATAAGAAAATGCTACAGCAGTCTTGGCCAACTTGTGATATTTGGGTATCATCAACTTATGAAATGTATATATTAATACAAACCTTTATGATATGATATGTCATCCTTAAATGTTAAGTCAACATCATTTAGCAAAGCTATAAGGTCGTGGAACTTTTTAATTTGTGTCTCGCTTTGAATATGAAAGTTTTTCATCTAACCAAAATACATGTAACGTTAATGAGCATATGTTAAATGTTTAATAGTCTAACAGAAAAAAAAAACAGACACAGAGTCAACTTTCCAGAAAAGGTAATTATTTTTTGCCAAAATGGTGTATTATACATGTACTTTAATATAATACTTCGGCAAACCATAACACTGGCAAGGATATGCTTCATATGTTAACATCACAAAATAGTGAGTGCAAGGAGCCCCATTACAAAACGGATGGCAGCCAGACTAATCTTTTATCCATGAAAGCAATATTAATTCTGTTTGACAAGAAGGGTAATTATAATCAACAGGAATAATTTGTATGACAGGTGATTGTACAAATGTATGACTGCACCATATGCATGTACTGGCAACGTTACCACTTCAGATCAGAATTAGCGTCACAATTAATTACAACAACAAAATGTCATACATTTCGTGTTTTATACTTCGAAGTGCAAAGCTGTTTGAAAAGGGCAACTTGTACAAAGGTGAATATATATTTAACTAGTTGAATGTAGAGCCATAGACATAGTGTTATAGTACAAATCACCAGCTATAGCCACCTCACAAAACACTAGTACTGTAAATGTATTTTCCTTTGTAGTGGTTTTATTTTGGTAGGGAAAATTTTGTAGCACGTACAGTCAGTAGAATCACAAAACACCTTTTGCACAATGTAATCAGATTTTGCGACAAAAATTGCAAAAACAAAACCACTGCAAAGTTTTGCATTTGCAGTATTGTTCATTGAAGATAGCTCTCGATAGAGCCTTTGACAGAAAAATATTACAGTACCAATATACATAGGTCGCTATCATATTACAGTGAGTCACAAGACTATGGAATAGTCTAGCAGCAGCCATATTGTCAGGTTAACCTTCTCCCTGCTGAATTAAGCTGTGTGTCAAGAAATATGTTTTGTTAACAGAGTTTAAGGTAGCAGGTTAAGGTTAGGATATCACAAAATTTCTTCGAAGTCATCAATTACTAGTATAAGAAATTTTCCAAAGCCTATGATCAAGGTCAGGTATCACAAAATTTCTTTGAAGTCATCAATTGTAGGAAATTTTCTGAATCATATGATCGTTTCCCTTGAATTTGCCAGCTCGTTGCCCCTTGCAAATTAAGGGGGTACTTGAAAATGGCCGCTGTTTCCTTGATTGTCTGTGCAATTTCATACATATGTATATATCTTCACATGTCTGGCAGCCAACTTGGATCCATATCCCACATGTACGTACCAACATGGTACAGAGCTATATAAAGGCTGCGGTGACATTCAATACGAGTGTTCCAGACCGGTCTGTGCTTTACAGTACTTCACAGGTTTCTACTTTTATCATACATACTTTCATACAGTAATCCTTTGCCAAATCGTTATACATATCACAACTGAAGCCTCTAACAGGCTTCAGAGGCGGCTGGCAAGAATAAAAATTGACCAAACAGGCAGATAACATGCCAGGGGAGTTAGTCCACTAAAGGAGTACAGCAATGGCTTCTCTGTACTCCTTTAGTGGACTAACATTAACTCCCCTGGTATGTTATCTGTGTATTTGGTCAATTTCTACTCTTTCCAGCCGCTTCGACAACTGTACGGGTAGTTACACAATTCAATGTCTATGCACAATTTGCCAAAAAATGTCCCTTCTCATATATTCATATAGTCTTCTTTAGTCAACAGCCCCATATTTACCGAGAAAATATTTACAACTTTGAAGTGCTTCATTTCTTAAAGCTCAGTGCACCTCTATTTATTTTCACACAATTTGTCATTTTTAAACTGACCCATGTTGGTCACCTGGCAAAACTTTTGGATTATGATGGCTCTCTTGCCCAAAATGAAACATTTGCTTATATTCTGTCTCTCTCTCTCTCTCTCTGTACATGTATACCAAAACCCTTGGTTCTAGAGCTGTACAGTCACATATGATATATGATACAGTTAACAACAAACAAAAGACCCACCACCATATTCCCCCTCTCACAACTCCCTTGTACCTTTAGGCTGGTTACTAAACCTATTTTACCTGCTGACTTGGATTCTCTTTTGTCCATTGCACAAGAGCCTCAGCACTATAATAGGTTTAGTAACCAGGCTGTCACATAAAACTTTTTCCATTGTTTACTAGTATGTAACATTCTATCCAATCCCAACAATATTACAGAGCAAAAGCACAAAAAGAAGAAGTTTTAAAAACTTCATAATTGACAAATATAGATACATTGTATATGGATACATCTATGTGTATATGTGACAGTTATGTAACAATACTTTATGATATGTTTGACTAGATACAGGAAGGCTTTGAAAAAAATAGCTTCCAAAATACAAACACGATATTCAGATAGAGGAAACACTGCACCTTAGTGTCCCATGTCTTAAGTATGGACAGTTTTATATGGAAATCTTCTTGAAGACTGGCCACAGAGATTCAATTTAGTAATACATGATTGCATACTGTACATTTCTTCCACACAATTTCAACCAAAGCTGCAAAGACCATGTCCTTGAAGGACCTTATCAAATGTGGTCTAAGGGTCTGTTTGTATTTATCATTATTATTATGTTTATAATTTGTCTTTTGCTCTGTTTCTTCTTCAGTTCCAAACATATGAGGTCAATGACCTGGAACAGGCGACCTGTCACCACTCACCATGGTAACCGACTGGCAACATTATGTTGCAAGTTGTAGGACAGAGTTGACTTGTGTCACCATACATCAAGAGTGTTTTTCAGTAAGAATAAATGAAGCAGAGGTTTGTCAGGCTAGACCATGTGTAGGTAAACATTATGCATCTGCTTTGGAAATGCTCCCTTTCTAGTTTCCCTTTTCTTTTCTTTGTTATGTCTACCAAAGGAAAACATATTGTTTTTGCTCTGTTTCCTCTTTTTCTTCTTCTTCTCCACACAAATACGGTCAATAACCTGAACCAGATGTCTATCACCATGGTAACTAGTGTTGGGTTACATCATGTTGTAATTTTATAGCAGGAGGGATTTAGACTCCTGTCTGAAAATATATATGAATGTATTTGTGTGAGAATTAACAGAGCCTTTCTATAACTAGTTTTTCTAGTCTTTCTGCCAGATTTCGGAGACCAGTGGCTGTGCCTGGATCATGCTTGCACACTCCGGCCGCAGGTGTTTCTCACAGGACCCTCCGATTTCCCGTACTTCCGTCAGCTTGCCCATGAGCCGAGGGAACATGAGCGGCTCGTCGGGGTAAGCCACCTTACAGTAGGCCTGCAGACACTCGATGTACTTCTCTTGCGCCTTCTCAAGGATTTCTCCTCCTCTCACATTAGCACGGTCTGAAAGAGTGGGAGATTTACAATTGCTTTTAGATTGTCAAAATGATTCATTATCAAAAAGGTTTAGATGAATAAAAAGCATTCTTGGTTATTTTAGGTGACAAAATATGACAAAGTATGACAATGATGTATCTTGATACTGGTATATCTATGGATGATCAGTAATATTATGCCCACACAAGACAGCTTTCAATAGATGACACAGTGAAATGAGAAGTGGATAGTTTATTCTAATAGACACTTAATCAGACAATTCCTAGTGGAAAAATGCAATGCAATGAATAAAACAAGACATTCGCTAAACAATTCATCATTGATTTCTTGTTATAGCAGAACAGACCCTGAATGAAACATACATGTACATGTATTCATATAGATTTGTTAGGACTTTAAATGATGTAACTTATCTTTTCCATCTATTTTGTCTGACTGTTAATTACCTCTTTCCTCCTAAATGAAAAGCAACCTGCAAGCTGATTCGAGCTTCTCATGAATAAAGAATGGTTCAAACAAACAAACAAACAAACAGACCCCTGTACAGACCTGGAGAGAGGATGACACAGCAGCACAGCAGGTGCACAGTGATGGGGTCTACGTTTAACTTCCACATCCCCTCACACCACTTCATCACTCGGTCTGTGAACTCCTGCGTGTACACTGCAACGGGACAGGAATGGTAAGGGAAAGGTTAAGTCTCATATAGCCTGATTAAATCACAGGGAAGGGCCACTAAAGCCACGGACGGCAGAGTTTGCATTACACAGACTAAGTCTTGTAGTCCTTTTTGAGGCTGTAGGGGCAATGGGTTGTTGATCAACTGTGTTTTTATCCCTCAAAATCTTTCTGTCTCTATGCTGAAAGGCCTTAAAGAGCATGGTATATGCGATAGCACTTGAGACAGTGTAACACTGTCAATGATCTTCAGCTGAAGTTGTGGCTTGCCAGAATGTCACTGCACTTCCACTAGAGTCAAGCATATTTTTCACCTTTAAATACCCTTCACATCAACATCCTTATCTCTAAAAATCGTGCTGTAAACAAGAGAACGCTGGCTGCCAGGATGCTCAAAATGTCCTTTAGACTAAATTTAAGAGCTCTCAGACATGTCTGGTGAGCTCTTTTCCTACTGTGTGGAGCCAGCTGGAATGTCAAACTTAATTCAAGTACATTGTGTACATGTAATTACATGTTCTGAGTATTATTCCAACTTACTCATCGTTGTGAGGTGCTGTGCAATGTTGACGTCCAAACCCGTTTCTTTACAGAAGACCGGTCCACGCATGATGAAATTCTCAAAGATGGAACCCTGAAAATTTCACATTTCCATTAAGTACTAGTATGTGGCTCATCTACAAACAGCAGTAAGATATGAAACAAAAAAACTATTGCAAAATTTTAATAGAAATGTTCTTTATTCACAACGACTTGTTTAACAAGACTGGGTGTTTCGTTGAATGTCATCTTCATTAGGGTACATGTAATTATGATATGATATTGTGCACTGAAGCTTGGCTGGCGGCTCTTCAGTACACATGGAACCAGTCATAATTGCCTTAATGAAGAGGATAGACTGTCATCGAAATGTAAGCTCTTGTTAAACAAGAGGTTGTGAACATAGGTGAATAGTTTCATCAAGCAACTGGTAAGTCACTGAATAAAGAGACTCTTTTTACACAACCCAGAGGTTTATTCAGCTGATATTTTGGTGACCGTCTGTCACCTTCCTCAGTGCAAATCTGACTGATTCACAGATGTTTCTGCTATTGATGCAAGGTCTGATCTAGATACTGTTCCCTGTAACCTTTAATACAATCCGTACCCCTGGAGGAAAGCTGGATGAAGGCTAGGGCAACCCAGCCATGTTGTGATGAAATAAACAAACATTGGATACACTGTACAGTGTTTTTTTTACACTGAAACATAAGCAAGGTAAGAGACAATATTGGTTGTGTAAAAGAAACCTCCTATATCCTATACTATATATACCAACCTGATGAAACTATTTTCAGAAATAAACAAACGCTGCGTGACTTGCCTTGACCACGTTGATCTGGTCCTCGACGTGTAGATTGTTGAATCCGTGCAGTGTGCGGCAGAAGGAGATGTACCGCTCCACAAACTTGTTCCCGTGTTCCACGTACCGAAGCTGCTTCTCCTGCAGGGTCTCACAGGCTTCTGTGTCCTGAAGTTATTAAAAATACCAGAAGAGAACTTTGGTCAGACCAATTGTTAACATGGCAAAAAACAGTTACTCAAACAACTGGATAATTTTTGGACATGGCCAGACGTTTCAGGTAGCATCCACTATCTTTCGTCATCAGTGACACTGGAGAGTTGTCAGAAATGGCAGGTTTATAAACTGCATGAACTATTGGTTGATATGTGTGGCATCTCCAAAGTGTGACGTTAACATTGGGTCAATGATATCTGGTATACCCCTGTGTTTTAAATATGTAACTACCAACACAGACGAACTTTCAGGACAATCATCTAAGCTTTCTTGAGTTATCACATTTACATTGCACACTACAGACACACACAGAGACCGGTGAAGCATTACATGTACAAGTACCCACCTCCCACATTGCTATGGCGTGTTTGCGTTCCGGCTCGATGTTCTGCTTCCAGTACCCCAGGATGGCCTGGATCAGGACCTGGTGCCCCTTCTCCAACTCCTGTATGATACCAGGCCGCACAAACAGGTGCTCCATCCGCGCAACCTGCGACAGGTCCTCTGGGAAACAAGTGCTGTGGATAGGGGTGAGTACCGGTTCAAGTCAGGGCTTGGAATTCAATTTTCTGTATCTGTATCTGTATAGCCGGTATAACCGCCTTTCGGCGTAACACACCAGCTCCGCAGGCACGCGGCGCGGCGGCAGCTGGCTATATTACACTGATCGACTTGTTACACCGAACCCTTGAACTTCTAGCTCTAGACATTGTTTAAAGCTATCTATTGACAATGCCCCTACTGTACTTGGTGACAGTGAGTTTTGGGAATACCAGTAGGTGCATTGGTGCAAACTTGTTTTTGGATGCACCATATAAAGTAGAATAGATAAAAGTAGAATTATATCAGTAAACACTACATGTAATATGTTGCATTTCTAAAGAAAAATACTACAACTATCACAAAGATTTTCTTACTTTTATGACACTTAAATGTCAAGAGTATGCTGTGTAGAAGTACACGTTTTATCTTCTTTACATACTTAAGTCTCAGAAAATATTTGTATACCTGGGGATGGAACCCGCCTGCTTCCCCTTGGAGGAGCCGACACCGGAGTGGAGAGACAGCAAGGTCTGGGCAAACTCGTGCTCGAACTCGGCTTTTTTACACTCTCCAGGAGGCACCGCAGTCTCGTTCTCCGTCTTCGGTACGATGATTGGTTTAACGTCTGTGATGGTGTCGAGTGACGTGGCGCTACTCGACCCCACTTCTACTTCAGCGTCCAGTACAGCCACGAAGGGTAATACGTCAACGCTACCGGGAGACCCCGATTTAATCACCGCTGAATCCACTGAGGAGGTCGTAGCCTCCCCAACGATTGTAGACTGCGTGCTCTCGGGCGAGGACACCTGTCTGAGAGCATCGTCTGACGAAGACATGGAGCTGCTCCTTGTGCGGACCTCTGTTTCCATGGCAGCAGCCAGTGGCAAGAGATTGTCTTTGTAAGGAACTTCAGGCACGCCGCTCTGGTCGGGGCTGGGCATGGTTGGTGATTCCTGGCTACACGTGGTGCTCGACGGGGCCGCAGGTTTGGACTTTGCAGGTTTTGGCGCTATGTGTTTTCTCCACAGCAACTTTGACCGACACTGAGCCTGGGTCAGCAGACCTGGAACACAGTCAGACCTTTTATTAATAAAAGCTGTGTATTTTGTTGTGTCCATTGGTAGGAGGAAAAGAGCAACTAACCTGTATGTCCCAAATATGAGCGATCGTCATAATGTCAAGGCCAGCAAGTGGTAGGCAGAAACCAGAAGACAGTTGGCTGATTTGCCTACCAATAATTTGTCTTCAAGTTCACAAAAACAGCGATTGCTTGAATAGAACATGTACTACTGGAAGTACCGGTAGAGGTACCATTACTGGATCATGTAACAGCTTTTTAAGAATAGATACCGGTAATACAACTTAATGCCATTATTTGCAAAAACATGTCACAGCTGACAAGTATTAAGCAAACAACACTGGGTTATACATGGGGGCAACAGTACAGAAAGTTTCATATGGTTATGGGAAACATAGTATGTATAACAATGATATCGAAAGATACAAAACTCTGCTGCATGTGACGAGCCACTAGCTATAGGGAGCCCAATATCTAATAGTTTTGAGGTCCTATCAAGCCCTACCTGCATACCAAATATCAAGACAATCCACCCAGGCATTCTTAAGTTATTGTGCTCACAATCACAGATGGACAGGAGGGTACACACACACACACACACACTACCCAAAATATAACCTCCTGATGGAGGTAATGCAAACAAATGAAAGAAAATTCTTACAATCAGGCCTCATCCCGGCGGCCTTACATGACCTGAGTCGACACTCAGGACATCTCCTCCTGGTGTACAGGTCCATACTGCACTGGTTCCCCCATCTACAGGCCTTCACGTGACCTCGCGTCACACTGCGACGGAAAAAACCTGCAAACGTGCAAGGATAATGTCGTTAGCATCATCACAACTCATTGACAAGTCCTGAAATATTCAAGTGAAGTCTTGCTTCCTTGTTTCATCATCTATCTGATATAGAAATAAAATTTAGCTATGATTTTATTTCATTTTAACATTTGAAGGTTATGTTTCTGGTGTGTCTGTTTGTGTGTTTGCTTCTGTCGTGTTTCTGTCGTGGTTATTTTCACAAGCTTAGGCAAGTCTGGGATACTGACAGGAAGTTACATGTAGACTAACCTGATGAAACTATTCACAACCTTTTACATACTTCTGAGAGTTACAGGTAATCTCAAATCAGATCATACGGTGGCAAGGCAGTATGCATTGGCCATGGGAGTATCCAACGCATTAGCCAAATTGAATGTATACATGTCTGGCTAATCTGACTAATAGATACTGCCTGGCTAATTTGGCCTGGCCTGTCTTTTGCAGCCACCAAAACATCTGCTTGGAGATTAAGTTACAAGATCGCTTGTTGATCTATCGATTTCTTGTTTTTTCGAGTACTCACCCTTGCAGCCCTCACAGCTGTAGACTCCATAGTGAAAGCCCGAGGCCTTGTCACCACACACCAGGCAGTCTCCTGCGGCTAGCTCAGGAGGCACAGGGATGTCATCCTGAGACAACTCCTCGTCAAAGATCTGCGCTAACGTTATCTGGTTAGCCATGGTTGTATCGTCTACACCTGGACAGAGACAAATTCAGGTACTTAGCATGAAAGTTCATCTGTGTTGGTACAACTTTATGAAATAAAGACTAAACTTGAAAAGCCAACACCACAATAAAAATTTGGGTCCCAATCCATACTTCTAGTATTGGCAGTTAAAGTTTAGTCTTTACTGTTACATGTATTTCAGAATTCGGGTACTGTGTAACCCTTGGATGATGGGGAACATCAGATAAACTGGATAGTGAGTGGGTGTACCTTAGTTGTACAGATTGAGAGGTTTGATTTTTTTAAAGCATCTGTTTGTATGTTTGCTTGCTTGCAAGGCTTGAAATACTTTTTCCAGGCTGCATACCTGTTGGAAATTACCTACACCAGACAAATTTTACCTGTATGATTCACTCAGACTTAGGGATAGTATGGATCGTAGAATATTAAAAGTTAAAACAGTTCAGAAACCATTGCAATTAGTAGTAGTTCTTTTATACTTCATAAGGTGGTGACAGTCAAAGCAGCAAATAAAATTTTAAAAGCCACATGCACCTACTAGTAACTGTTAACGTTACATGTAACGTTATATCATATATATACCCTGAGTACATGGACCAGTGCAGGTTAGGTGCAGGTAGACATCAGAAACACCTGCACAGCTCCAACCTGTCCTGAATATGCAGACCTGTGGGATTTCTGGCCTGTCGTCTTTCATTGAATTAAATATGTATCCGTAGTTGGTGAGGGTAGGGACAGGATATAGAGTTGGTGGTAGAACTAGTAGATTGACATTCTGCTGACAATATTACCATGTAATAGCTACAGAGGTAAAGAAACAAACATAACGTACAGAACTCCCTCCTTCATATACAAATGTAATTATCGAGGTTAGTATTACTGTGACTATCTATGCTTCTGTTGTCTATGCATAAGTCCTACGTCGTTTGTTCCTCTACAAATGTAGTTCTCCATTTAACGTTACCGTACTAGTACCTAAACCTTGCGGCCAAAGACGTGGCAGTTTTAAAATACTGAGCACTCAATCAGTGTTGTTGACATGCCATAATGTCCTGTGTGCATTCTGGAAGGTGCGTCGTATAATGGCAACGTTACAGACAACTGCCGACATGTCTGTGTGTCCACATGAAGCTTTTTGTGAAGCTAGGACAGTAGAAGGGAGGTCGCAATTGTCCTGAACGCACGGAAGCGTTTAGGACCTGTAAAGTGGCTTCAGCTAGCTGCCATTTATAATTTTCACATGGCCACGTATAACACGTACAACAACATTGCATACAACCACATGGAATACAGATCAGGTACAAATAAATCTAGAGATTTGTGATTAAGGACAAATATTAGCTTTAGTACATTAGTTGTAAACGCGACACGAAGCCAGCAGCCACCACAAAAACAAAAGCCCCCTCCCCTTTTTTATTTACCAAAACAACAGGCGCCCTACAGGTCGGTTTTTGGTGTCCTCTGTATCCAAAAAATCGACCTACCACGTCAAAGCAAGGATTAGACACGTTTCCTCTGTCAGAATGACTACTTACAAAGCTTCTGCTGATTTGTGGAAGTCTGTTGGTCATGAAAACGCCCAGAAATCGTCAGAAAAGCGTCAAATACGCACGACGTCCATGCCTGTTCTGTAGTGTCAAGTCACTGAGTGTAGTCTGAATATTAATAAGGGGCTCTCTGATTGGGTACTTCGGGTCACGTGACTGGAACCTGTCACTATCTGCAAATAGTTCAATAACATGCCGAGTTGGAAATTGTTAGCCAGACTGAACTAAGGAGGCTTGTATTTAATCTTCTTGGCTGTACCTAGCTTTTCGCTAGCTTCCTAATTTAGGGATGGCAGCTCTTTGAGAGCGCCGAACAAAGATCTTGTGTTTACAGGCTAAAATGGTCGGGACCAGGGCGTTTGAATTGCTATTAAAATAGCGCGAATTTCTTTGGTACTGCAGCGAAACTTTTGGTTAACTTAAAGGAAAGCACCAAATTTATTTCCATACGTTCAGAACATGCCATGGTAACGATTTTTTGTGTGTGCGGTTGGCAGCTTCTAGCTGGCTCAGAAGTAATTTTGGGAACCCTGACACTTTCTTCAGAGCAGCTGCGCTTTTACTCGTGAAGACTTTGCGGGGTTCGAAAAAATAAAGAAAGAAAAAGAAAGGAAAGAAAACTGCAAATTAGGGATATCATAGCTCCGCCAACAATTTTAGTTTTTCTTTATTAATTATGCATCTTCTAATTAATATTATTTTTACAAAATACTCACTCGCTTTAATCGCTCAGTTACATTCACTATTGCAAACTGCCAGGAAAATGTACTACTAGTATTGATAAAATCCCCTGGCATGTTATCCTGTCTAATTGGCCAATTTATACTCTTTCTAGTCGATTAGAGACCATTCCAGGCACGACTCAGGCAAAAACCCACTGAAGCAGCGTGTAAAAAACAATTACTTGTTGCTCCATCATAACTTAGAAAATTGTTTTTTATTAGATTAATGATGCTGCTGATTAAATCATGTTTAGCATAAGGTATATCTAAAAATATTCGTCTCCACCGGAGAAACCTGCATCACAAATATGACCATGTACCATTGAGCTGTTGTACCATTGTTACCATTGATCTGTTGTACCATTGTTACCATTGAGCTGTTGTACCATTGTTACCATTGATCTGTTGTACCATTGTTACCATTGATCTGTTGTACCATTGTTACCATTGATCTGTTGTACCATTGTTACCATTGAGCTGTTGTACCATTGTTACCATTGAGGTGTTGTACCATTGTTATCATTGAGCTGTTGTACCATTGTTACCATTGAGCTGTTGTATCGTAGCCCGGTTACCAAACCTATTATGACTCCCGAGTCCTACATCCTCTCCACCAATAGAGAGATGTAGGACTCGGAAACCAGGCCAGTTGTATGGACGTACCTCTCATTCATTCACCTGCTATAAGGGCGCCACTTAGCGGAATACATCACAACTGCAACTAAGGTGCCAAGTTCATGACGTCGATGCTGGTTGGTGGAATGAAATAAGTTGACCAATCAGTGCAGATAATATTTGCGAAATTCTAATCTCCGCAAATACGACACTATTAAAGTTGCCGTCTACCGTACAGTTTTTGGTTCTGTAAAACTGTACAAGTAAATGCTAGCAAATTTCACTAACAGAAATGGCAAGTTGTACGTTCGAATTCAGTACTGGGTAAGACTTTACGTCAGTCTTGTACATGCCCGGTTACTAACGGACAATGGACAATTCATTCAACTCAGACAGAAATGGCATTTAATTTCTACACCATTGTTCAGTGTTGGGTGGCTCTTTGCGTCAGCAAAGGTACTATAGTTATCTTGTACTTGCCCGGTTACTCTAGGGCAAAGGCACATACATCATTAATTAACATACACGCTTAATTAAACTCAGACAGAAATAGAACTTTCCACACCACTGATTTTTCAGTGTTGTGACCTGTACTTGCCCGGTTACTCTGGGACAATAGCCGGAACATAAATATCATCATTGAAATCTATACTTGTCTAAGTCGTCATCATGATTACACAGTTGATTAAACCCACGAACTCGGGTGGCCCATGAACGGTGGTGGTATTCCCGGCAACTACGTAATACTTTCATGACTGAGCGGGTCAGTAGGTTTGTACTTGCCAGGTCATTAGCTGTCATCAAGTAGTTCAAAAGTAAGTTTCTACGAGAAGGCCTGACAATGAACTATACATACAGCTAAGGCATTATTCCTGTAGCTTACGCAAATCTATAGCTACATGGGAATAACATACATGTATATGGAACAAAAGAAGCCTTAGCCCGATATTAAAGCCAGCAATACATGTAGAATGTAGAATACATGTAGAATGTAGACTTGGGTTCTGTAAAACTGTACATAAACTTCCAGCAAGTTTCTCACGTAAACCTGGCGAGCAATTGTTCAGTATTGGGTGGCTCTGTACGTCAGCAAAGTTAATCTTGTACTTGCCCGGTTACTCCAGGGCAAAGGCACATACTTCATTAATTCATATACACGCTTAATTAAACTCAGACAGAAATAGAACTTTCCACACCACTGATTTTTCAGTGTTGTGACCTGTACTTGCCCGGTTACTCTGGGACAATAGCCGGAACATAAATATCATCATTGTAATCTATACTTGTCTGAATCGTCATCATCATTACACGGTTGATTAAACCCGTGAACTCGGGTGGTCCCCAGAATGGTAATGGTATATTCCCGGCAGCTACGTTCATAACTTGGTGGGTCTGCAGGTTGTCCGGTCATCAGCGGTCATCAAGTAGTTCAAATGTATTAAAGTTAAGTTTAAGTTTCTATGAGAACTTGATGATATCATAGAACTTCTTACATTGAAGGCACAGTTATTCCTGTTATTTTACGCACAGCCCATGTGAATAATATACGGAATATTATGAACACAGAAGTAGAACTTGACAATTCCGTTTCTCAACTTTCATTTTGCGTTCATTGACTTTATGAAGCTTGTATCTTACTGAAGTGTGTGCCAATCAACTATAGTAACCGGGCAAGTACAGGATCAGATTTTCATTTTGTTGACGTACAATGTGCAGAGCCATCGATTCTTGAGTCATCGTGCCATTTCCATTCAAACATACATGTATCCAAACAAACAAACAAACAAACAAACAAATAAACGCTACCAAAAACATAACTTTTAAAGGCGAAGGTACGTAATAACTGAATGTGTGAAGTTGCATGAATTGAAATTGCGTAATATTATGCAACTACATGTACAGCAAGGTTCGTTGACCGGGTGTGGCAAGAAGGGTAGGACGCCTCGGGGCATATGTAGATCATATCTACCATGATCTCATTATTTAGATAAAAATATGTGTGGTTCGTGATTTACAAACGTGTGTACTACATGTACATATTTAATCTCAAGTGCTCCATTGATAGAAATGCCGTCACAACTTTTTGATTCTATATAGAATTGTTTTTATTCGGCCATAGTAACATATGAAAACGTACAAATCACAGTCGTGAATTCAGCTTTGTCCATTGCGTTGTGATACATTCGCAATATTGTGTGTGTGTGTGTGTGTGGGGGGGGGTGATAACAAGGGTAACGTTATATGTCTACTATCACAGTCATGATGCACTTCAAAGAGTGATATTATTGTATACATGTA